CTCGATCCCAGGACCCTGGGATCATGACCTGAGCCGAAGGCAGACGCTTAACCATCTGAGCCACCCAGGTGCCCCGAAATTCTTTTATTTCTGGTAGCATCCATTAACATCCTTCATAATTAGTGTCCATGCCATACATAGAGGGGACACAGCTCTGGAAGGCACATCGTCCCTAATTCTGCTCCTCACCAATGAGGTGACTTAAGAATTAATCACATAACCTCTCCATACCTCATATGTCAACTGAGGGAGCAGAAGAGCACCACTTCATGGGGGGAGTTATAGCACTAGTAAAGGTCTGCAGTAATCACAGCTAATGATATTTCAACTCTGGGGTCTGGCTGTGTGGGTTCAAATTTTGTCCTTCCACTCCCTAGCTATATGACCATGGGAACATTTCTTAATTTCTGTAGCTCAATTCTTCATCTGTATAATGGGGACAAAAATTGTACCATTCCCACAGCGTTGTTGGAAGAGTTCAGTCTGATTCACATAAAACAATTATAATTGCGCCTGGTCCATGGTGGGTACCTAATGAATGTTAGCCCTCCTCTTGTCGTCATTGGTGTCTCGTGACTTCTATGACTATGACGTGAAAAGGGTTATTTTAGGTTTTTTTATTGGGATATAATTGACATGTAACATTATATTCATTTCAAGTGTACAAAATAATGCTTTGGTATTTGTATATATTGGGAAATGAGTACCACAGTGGGTCTAGGTAACATCCATCACCATGCATAGTTACATTTTTTTTTTTCTAGTGTTGAGAACTTTTAAGATCTACTCTCTTAGCGACTTTCAAATGAACAGTGCAGGATTATTAACTCTAGTCACCAGGCTGTACATCACATCCAGATTATTTTAGTTTCTAAAAACGACTCCTCTTGGGACACCTGGGTGGCCGAGTCAGTTAAGTGTCCGACTCTTGATTTCAGCTCAGGTCATGATCTCAGGGTCGTGAAGTCGAGCCCAGGGTCGGGCTCTGCGCTCAGCACGGAGTCTACTTAAGACTCTCTCTCTCCCCCTCTCCTTCTGCCTCACCACCCCATCCCCCCGCTCATGCTCTCTCACTAAAAAGAAATTAAAAATAAATAAAAGCAACTCTTCTTACCTCAGAAAACAGCTTACATCCAGCATGTTACTAAAATAGCATCACACCCCTCCTGCAAATATTTGATGTGCCCTGTTGCTATTGATCTCTGCATCTAGAGTCTGTGATCTGTGTCTTCTATCGTTTAACTTTTTCTGTTCGTGAACAGGGGCGGAGAGGCCTCGGCTCTGTTTTTGTCTGGGCCTCGGGAAACGGTGGAAGGAGCAAAGACCATTGTTCCTGTGATGGATACACCAACAGCATCTACACCATCTCCATCAGCAGCACAGCTGAGAGTGGGAAGAAGCCTTGGTACCTGGAAGAATGTTCGTCCACACTGGCCACCACCTACAGCAGCGGAGAGTCGTACGATAAGAAAATAGTATGTAACACTTGAGTGTCACGATCTATTCATTTATCTTTCCCTATGAGAGACAAAGGAAGAACCATAAACATGCACCAAGAATATACAGAAGTAGACGAGTAATATATGGAAGTTAGCTGCTTGCTCAATCCCAAGTATTTGTAAATGTTGTCATTCTATTATTAATTCATCAAATTTGCTTATCCGGGTCATTACATTCCAGCACTGGATGTGGTCTTAGACATGAGTAAGCTTCGGTTTGGTTGAAGACAGATGAATGGTCCACGTTCACCTTGTGAGTTCGTGGCAGAAGAGAGACAAGCTCTGACTCTCAGTCCAGTTCCCTTGTCACCCTGTCCCCATACCGTCTTCAAAACTTAACCTTCCGTGCTTTGGTTTCAAAGTGCTTATGGCTAACTCAGTGTGAGCTAACCCTGTCAAAAGGCGCTTTCCTGCTGCTGAGGCACCAGCTTGCCTGAATGAAAAGCAGAGAAGTCCTGTGTGACCTGCTTACCCACACGCCCTGCTCTCTCTGCACACAGCAAACTGAGTCAGAGTTCGGGTTGCAGGCCCGGCTTGCATGGGTTTTGTTGACTGTTGAGCTCTCTATTATCAGCTGCGTAACTTTAGACCCATCACTTAATTTTTCTGTCTCAACATCCTTATCCGTAAAATGTGAGCATTTGGGATCACATAGCTTATGGAGTTACTACCGAAATGATGACGAAGTAAATAAAAAGTGCTTTGCACACTACTTGACCCCTCAAGGAAGGTTCTGGCTTTAGGGGTGCCCAGCAGTGTGCCTCTGATGTGAAATTTCAAACACCTTTGCGCTTTCTTCTTGGTCATAGTTTTATAAACTGTCTCAGGATTTGTCTTTCTAAAGTGAAGCTAAGCGGCTTTCCTTGATACTTTTTAGCCTGTGGCTAAGAGCCTGCTCCCAGGTCTTAGAGATTTATGCAAATTTGGGTCACATCTGACTTTTACACAGTGGTGGAAATACAAGTGATAGGATACTACTCCCCTCATGTAGTGCTTTATCCACATCCATCTGGTTCTTCTCGGTTCCTGGTTATTATATAATCGTCATGTGTGACTTCTCAGCTACTTTTTACTAACTTCTTTAGTTACATTTTTCAGGTTGATAAATTAAATTGCCTACCCATCTACCCTATCCTTCCCTAATTCCTTCACAATAGTTGGCTTTTCCAACTATTGTTTTTTTGGGGGGTTATTTGGTTTTTGGTTTTTTTTAAGATTTTATTTATTCATTTGAGACAGAGATACAGAGAGAGCGAGAGAAAGCATGAGCAGGGAGAGAGGCAGAGGGAGAGGGAGAAGCAGGCTCCTCGCTGAGCCAGGAGCCCGATGCGGGGCTCGATCCCAGGACCCTGGGATCATGACCTGAGCCGAAGGCAGACGCCCAACCGTCTGAGCCACCCAGGTGCCCCCAACTATTGTTAATAGGGGCTCTTGTTGTACCTCCATCTTTCCCATCTACAAAATACTGCCATCTGTACACCTACCCCATAAAGAAAGGCTCTTGGATTGTGAACATGTTAATGGTTTGAACATGAGTAGAGTTGGCAACGACGTCAGCCTTTTATGGTCCAGCTGGCCCCTTTTCCTTCTAGATGTCAGAATGACAAATAATCCTGCATCGTGCCTGGGACCTTTTCTTCACCAGGCTCTGAACCAGCTGCCCGTGGTGCCTCGGAGATGGCCACTTCCTGGCGGTGGCATTGTGATGGAGTGTTGCAGGAATGGCTGTGTCAATCTCCCTTTGTTCTGGGGCTCTCCTCCCCGGGTCATCCATTTCCTTGTGCCATTGGCAGCTTCTTCAGGAGAGCACAGTTGTCATGTCTTATTTGTGTAGGGCACCTTTGTGATTTGAGCCAGGTGCATGCTGAGGATTCAGAAGAGAGGAAAGATCCCTCTGCTTCTGGAAAAGCACTTCTGTGGAATAAATTTTACTCATCCTCAACAGAATGTCTTGTCATGGTAGGCAAGCAGGAAAACCTTGCCCTGGGTTTCAAAACAGCCAGATCTCTGTCTCTTGGGTTTCCTGCCCCTGCTATTAGTACAGTCGTGGACGTTGGTATTTCATTCATGCTTTAACAGATTCAGATCAGTAATGGCCTTATATCTCTTTACAACAAGTGAAGCATCCAAAATATCAAGATTATTACAATAAGAAGCTCCCCTGCAAGCTAAATAGAAATCAGTTGAAATGACTGGCTACTATAAAGCCATATGATCAAATAATATGTTTTTATTGATAATAATGCATACATCGTATTCCATGTCCACTATCTCCTACATTCACGGTTATCTTAACATAGTGCCAGGCACTGGGCTGTGCACATTAAATGCATCATCTCATAATAGCCTCAAAACTCTACCCAGGACGACCAGGCACTGTCCTCATTTTACAGATGAGGAAACTAGAGTGCTTGGAGGAAATATAGGCAGTAAGCGGTAGAGCCTGGATTTCCGCCAAAGTCAGGATGGACGACGCCCAAGCCCGTCTTGTAACCAGTATGCGGTCGTGTTCTGGGTACTTTCAAAAGACACCCATTCTGGAGGCGTCTGAGAGAATGGTGCTGCTCTTACCCTTTTGGGGTTCTTTTTTGCAGCGATAAAATACATATATACACATATACGTATACACATGCAAATGTGTATTGTTTTTCACTACCTGGCAGATTTATTTTAATTTTCAGGCCATAAGACCTTCTCCTAATCCCCTAAGACCATCAGTCCTGTTGCAGAAACCTGAAGCTCTTTGCCAGTCTGGGTTGCTGGGTCCTGTGGCACGGTATCAACACTGAGCTCCTCCAGGTTATGCCTTTTGTGTGACGTTCAAGCTACGGCTCTCTGTCTTGTGACAAGTGTCGTCTGTTAAGGCACCGTTCCCCCAGATAGCACTTAATTTATGCCTCTTCTCGAGCATCTCCTCAAGGAGGATTTTCTTTCTCACCTCCCTTAAAATCTCACCTCCCCCACTCTATTTTTTTTTTTTTAAGATTTTATTTATTTATTTGACAGAGAGCACAAGCAAGGGGAGTGGCAGGCAGAGGGAGAGGGAGAAGTAGGCTCTCCGGGGAGCAGAGAGCCCGATGCGGGGCTCGATCCCAGGACCCCGGGATCATGACCTGAGCCGAAGGCAGACGCTTAACTGACTGAGCCACCCAGGCGCCCCTCCCCCACTCCCTTTATTGTTCGGTTTTCTTCCTCCTGTCCTCAGAGCGACTTAGCACATTGCACGTTTTCTTGCTGTCTGTTTTGGAAAAAACAGATTGGAAACTGTTTCTCAAAAACTAGATTGGAAACTACGTGAGGCTGAAGACTTTGCCTTGTTCCTTCCCAGAGCCTGCGCTGAGTAAATATTCGTGCATAAATCACGACCAGACATTGGGAAGGATGGGAGCTTCAGGAGTTGTTTATATAGCTACAGGAAGACAGGGAGATGTTCTATTTCTTTAAGAGAAACTCCTTCTTCTGATAGGTTGGTGAAAGGCAAAGCGTATTTGACAGTAAAATATTTGACATACGAAATGGCCCACAGGAATCTTACTACATGATAAAGCTGTACCTACAACCTTTCTTTGTGTCGAAGAGCATTAAAGATCCCCTTTGTAACCCTTCACTGCCTCCTGAAATTTCTCCCCAGTTCTGTTTGGGGAATAAAGCTTCCCTCTCTCCCCAGCTCCTCCCATCATTAAATTATCTCTTTCTTTGGGGACTAGTTCAACCTTTGCCCTCTTTCCTCTAGCAGTTTGTCTTAAAGATTAGAATATGGTGGTGATCGTATTCCTCCTGGGAGGGGTCTTGCGAGCCAAACGTTGAGAATATATGCTCTGCTCAGCCCTCTCCTGACGTCATGTTACTTATTTGTGTTCAAAACAAACTTGCCGCCTGGGGTATCTCAGGCTTGGACTGAGCGACCAATTCCATGTGGAGGAATTCTCTTAGTGCTTTCCATGTTCCTAAGCAGCTACACATTTTCTTGTTTTGCAGAAACATCCTGCTCCCCAGTCCAGCCCTCCCCTGCCACCCAAATCATTATTCAGGCATAGCCACCATTCGTACCCGGGTTGATTTCTGTCATCTCTCTGTTTCTTCTTTAGATTTGGGAAAAGTCATTATTTTTCAAGCAGAAGACTAGGAAACCTAGATGTGGGTAGTGTGTTTGGAAGTTGGACATGTAGTCTCTTGAGAATGTTAAAAAGAGGAAAGGACAGGGGTGCCTGGGTGGCTCAGTCAGTTAAGCATCTGCCTTCGGCTCAGGTCATGATCTCGGGGTCCTGGGATCGAACCCCACGTCAGGGCTCCCTGCTCAGTGGAGAGTCTGCTTCTCCCTCTCCCTCTGCCACTCCCCCTCTCCTGCTTGTGCTTGCTTTCTCTCATTCACTCTCTCTCTCTCTCAAATAAATAAAATCTTAAAAAAAAAAAGAGGAAAAGACTGTTCCTGAAAAGTTCTGATTTCCACTGTGGGCTGAAGGAGAATGTCAATGCCCAATTGCTGACCGGAGCTGGATCTCAAGGCCGATTCCACCGCCATGGCCAGTGGTGGTCTGGAACGGCCACCTTGGCTCTCACGGACGGCTACCCCCTGTAACTCAGCTTTTTCTTTTGGGGCCACGTCAGGATTTAATGCTCTGCCACTTACCCAGCTCTTTAGTAGCTACGCATCCTTAGGCAAGTTGGTCCCTCTGAGCCTCCTATTTCCTGAGTTAATAGTGTATCTTGCATGCAAAGTTCCTGCGGATTTAAATGTAGTTTTTTACACACACATGAGTGTGCACACATGTAAACACCTGTTGCATGTTTTCCCACTTGTTGCAAGTGGTGGTAGCTTTCTAAGCCATCCAGTTTGTGTTAGCACTGGCAGTGGTGAGGGATAGCTGTACTTTAGCCCCTGGATTAGATGTACGCATATATGCACGTAATTTTTGTAGGTGGTTATGAGTTTATGTGAGTTTTATTTGGAGATTTGACCAAAAAAAAAACAACCTTGAAGTCTTTCCTAATAATTGGGGGAGTTTATTTTTTTTAATTTTTCTTATTTTTTTTATTTTTTTATTTTTTTTATTTTTTTATTTTTTTATTTTTTTTATTTATTTTTTTATTTTTTTTATTTTTTATTTTAAGATTTTATTTATTTATTTGAGAGAGAGAATGAAAGACAGAGAGCATGAGAGGGAGGAGGGTCAGAGGGAGAAGCAGACTCCCCGCCGAGCAGGGAGCCCGATGCGGGACTCGATCCCGGGACTCCAGGATCATGACCTGAGCCGAAGGCAGTCGCTTAACCGACTGAGCCACCCAGGCGCCCAACTGGGGGAGTTTAAAGTATACTCTGAGAGAGCTTGATATCAGTAATCCAATTTAGCCAATAAATACCGTGCTTCTGCTCCATACCCAGCTCGGAGCTGAACATGATGGAAGTGCAAAAATGATATAAGATGCCATCCTCCTCCAGTGATAGCAGCCTCACATTTGTAAGCAAAACCTTACATTTGCACTTCACATTTACAGATCCCCGTAGAACACAGCGCTGGAATTTTGTGGGGACTCCTCGGTCGTGATTGAATTTTAGACCAGACTTCGAGTTGAACCCAGAAAGCATTAATTGGTCCTCCATTCCATTTTATTTTGCTGTGCTTAATAAATCAGCTTCTTCTGTTTTATTCATTGACACATTGAAGATTTATTTTCTGCCTTTATCCCCCATCACTGTGTTTGAAACAGCTTTTCTGGCACATTTCTAATCCAAATCAAACTCCACACCAGAAGCAAATTCAACCTAACAGACAGTAGAATCATTTCATGTTTTAAAAATATCTGCTCAGTTGCTCTTTTAACAGATAGGAGACAATATGGCACCTTCAAAATAAAACAGATCACAAGATATCAGGGAGATAGAAAGTCTTAACTTCAGGGTTGCTATTAAGACTTGTCACTCATGGCCAAAGTCAATCTGAGCTGGGGTTCCCTGGAGAATTTCCTCAACAGGCTGGCATAAAAGATCCAATCAGCCCAACTAATGAAATGTGAAATAATAGGAAATAAGAGCTTAGGATGAGAAAAAGCCAGGGTTCTGCTCTGAGGGAGTGTGACTAGACCTGAACAATGCCCACGCCTTCTCACCAAACACAGATGACATCCCTAACTTGGTGGCATCCCCAAAACCATCTGCTCCTCATCCTGAGACAGGCCGAACATCTCATTTGCTGATCAGGACAGCTTTGATCTGGCTCGAGGCCTGGTGTCCTCTCCTGTTTCCCTCACTCCAATGGACAGAGAGGATATTTTCTTGAGCAATCTGAGAAGTTCTATGGAGGAGAATTCTGTTTCTGATTTCGGCAGGGAATTTGGAGTGCACTGGATGCGCCCCTGGGATGGAAACCAAATTTTGAGACTTGGTTTAAAACGGAATCGAAACCTGCAGGGCTTTGTTGTTCTGTTCTCACACGTAGAGCCTCTGGACTCCATGACGTGGGCCGACTGTTCCACACAACTTTGCTTTTAAATTACGCTGTTAGAGCCTGCGTGCGTGTGTTGTGATTAATGGGGTTCCCCCATGTGGTTCCAGTTTTCGGGACATCATTTTTCTTCAAGACTGTGTGCTCCTTGGTGGTCTTTGCCTTTTCATTCTAAAGAGAGACCTACAAATTCCCTGATACTGTGGCTTCTCTTAATGATGAAAACCCTGCCTTAGATGTTTCCAGTCATTTACACCTAAATATTTCCACCAGTGACAGTAACTTCCTCTTGAAATGACCCAGCTGGAATTTCCCCTGAAAACAGGGCGAGAGGGAGGGAGGCCGCTTTTCTTTCTTTTCTGTCTGTCCCTTTTCCCCCTCCCACTCTCCTTGGCCTTCCTGTCCCACCACCTTTGCACTCTTCCCAACCCCCCCCCCCAACACTACTCACATTTCATTTAGATAAAGTGCTTGGAAAGTAAATAAATAAATGAGAACACAGTGCCGATCTGGAATTCCACAAGTGTGGCCATATTAAGAGCGTTTAACATGTGGTTGGTGTTTGTATAGAAAAGTACGGAGCAGCTTTTTATTTAAGCATGCAGCATGTACGTCTCTACCTGTGACTCTGTGTGGACGAGGCATCTTCCTGTTATGGACTCGGCCTCATAAAGTTTTTATCGTTCACGTTTGAGGTTGGCCGTAGGTGGTTATTTATTCGGCTCCAGGACGTTACACACACTTGGGGTGTTTATTCTGGAGGGGTTTCTGTGTACCGAAAGTGTCTGGTACATCTGAAGAACAAGCAAAAGGAGCCAAGTGCGAAGACATCATGAAAAATCTTGAATCCAGGCACAAGTCATTGAAAAAAAGAAAACTTGGCCAAGGAATGTGACCATGAGGGTGAGGTACAATGAGAAGAATGCACGCAGAGCCATCTCTTAACAACAGAGGATCTGGAGACTCGGAAACAGATTGCTTCTGGGGTGTTCATGCCTTGACTTACAGACCAGGCCTTTGGAAAACAAGGCTGCAAATTGAACCGCAATTTCAAATGAAGTAGAAGTACCTTTGCAATGACCCAGCAGTCTCACTTCTGGTTACATATTCACAAGAATTGAAAACAGGATTGCGAAGAGATCTTTACATCCCCATGTTCTTTGCAGCATTATTCGCAAGAGCCGAGAGACGGAAGGCACACAAGTGTCCCCTGATGAATGGATGAAGAAAGAAAATGTGGTAAATACATATAATGAAATATTATGCAGCCTGAAAAAGAAGGAAATCTTGCCATGTGCTTCAACAGAATGAGACTTGAGGACATTATTCTAAGTGAAAAAGCCAATCACACACACACACACACACACACACACACACACAGACAAATACCATACAATTATGTTTATATGGGGTACCTACAGTAGTTAAACTCAGAGAAACAGAAAGTAGAATGGTGGTTACCAAAGGTTGGGAGGAGGGGAGAATGAGGGGTTGTTTAATGGATGGAGTTTTATTCATACAAGATAAAAATGTTCTAGAGAGATCCGTTGTACAGCAGTGTGCATACAGTTAACAGTACTGTACTGGACAGTTAAAAGTTGGCTAAAAGGGTAAATTTGTGTTACGTGCTTTTTACCTCAACAAAAAAACCAAAGAAATACCTTTTTAAAGTCAACAATTAAAAATCCAGAAAGTTTCTTATGTAGAAGTGGGTAGGGCTCTGTTTACCCAAACATCTTGCAAGCATCCGACATGGAGGTTCAGAAGATGGCTGGTTAATCAGATCTGTTAACCAAGAAATAACCTCCCCTGCTTGCCAAACACAATGTCGGGGCTCTTGGCCACCATTCAGTTATTCCAAGAAAAGAGGGTAAGGCTGGCCTCCTCTCTCCCACCACCATGTCTTACGGGTCTATATATTTTTGTGCATTCTGCCACACTCCTTGGGTATCAGTGCCTATCTGGTATGGATAGTCTGGTGACATTCAAAGTGTCAAAAGGAACAAAAGACAGAACTGATGGCCCTGTGTGAAACTAGGTCAGCCAGCATGTCAATGTAGATCCATAGCAGATAATTAAAGAGTCCATTCAGACATCCTCAGGGGACCCTGAGGAAACTTTTAGGGGAGGGCTCGTTTCTGAGGAGTTATGCGGCACTTTCTTCCTGTGAAGATCAGACTTCTTTCCAAATCAACCAATCTCCACACTCCTCTGGAAGGATACACCTTAGAACAACAGGACTTTGTTTTCAGCTGCCTTTATCCCCCCCACACCTTTCTGATGACCTTCCACCTCAGTTTTCCTATTTGTCTTGATGCCACACAAAGCTTAACCACTGTCTTCCAGTAACTTCAAGGAGAGCACCCGCTCATCTCCTGAGGCTTGTGCATTCCCAGCAGGAGCGATATCAGCCCCAAGGAGGCAAAAGTAGACGCTTGTTGGGGAGGGCAGGTTTTTTAAATCTTAGCTATTTCACCGGTTTGCAAAATCTTACCTCATTTGTCTTGTTAAGGAGAATCTTAGTTTAACTTTTTCTCCCTGGGTGAAATGATTGCGAAAGAAAGGTTAAAAAGCACGCTCTTGCTGATGGGAATGTTATTCAGCCATAGCTGAAGTAAACTGGATTCAAACCAAGAGGAAAAACTGATCTAGTTCTCACATTCTGCTTTCAAAAACTGGAGAAATGGCGAATCTCCTTCTGTACTATACCGGCAGGCCCTTAGTGCTCTAACGTCCCCTCAAGCACCCTGGGTTCAACCTTGTTTTTGGTATTCACCTTAAGTCTTTGAGGAGGTCTTGGTTCTTCCGTGCACCATTTCTGTGGATGCTAAAAACCGATGTTCCATCTATGGCAGAGCATGCCTTGGCTTAAAACCTACGCATCTCCCAAGGTATCCGTTCTGGAAGGGCAGGGCCAGACCGTGTGCTTTCAAGCTTCCAATGCCTACCTCAGTGTCTGGTGGTCGGTTCAGCGTATCTGATCATTAAAAATGTTAGGGTCATGAAAGAACTTTAGTTTTAACTAGAGCTGGGTCTGGGGTGAAGCAAGCAGGGGTTTGGGGGGGTAGAATTGAAAGGCACACAGGCATAACCCCTATGTTCCAAGCCGAAGACTCACCCTAGTCCTGACCCCAGTTTTAACAGAAGCGCAGTCCAATTTCCAAATGTTTCTCTTTTCAAAGTTGATGTACACGGGCGATTCTCTAGATGTGATAGAGTTACAGGAGTGCAGGAACAAGGTGTTTAAAACCACTGTTTCAACACCCCCTCCATTCTACTTTTAGGAGTGAATTTTCTTTCTACTTGCATGTGATTCCCATTGACCCCAGAAGCCTAAATTTTTCATTTCTGTCTTCTAGATTACTACGGATCTGAGGCAGCGTTGCACGGACAACCACACTGGGACCTCGGCCTCGGCCCCCATGGCCGCAGGCATCATTGCGTTGGCCCTGGAAGCCAAGTAAGCCTATCTCCCTATGTCTCCGCTGCCGACAGCCCCTCACCTCAAGGACAACTTACCCGTCCCCTCCGATAGAATCCCTAAGCGCAAGGACCCAAGATAGAACCTTCTAAGTCCCACCTTTATAAAACACCAAAGATTAGGGTTTTAAAAAGAATTGTTTTCCCTATATTAAGGAAAAAAAAACACACCTTTTTTTTGGTTTTTATATCCTTAAAAAATCAAACTGTGTAATTACTTTATTATGGAGTCATAGCACAAGCATGCCAATTGGCTCCAACACTGTTACCTTGTTGAGGTTTTTATTCTAGTCTGGGAATGTTCCTGTGAGGCTCAGAGCAGTCGGGGCCCTTTCCCTGCGGAACAGTGAGGCAGCTCAGATTCCATGACAATAGCGCTCCCTCTGGGGGACAGAATGTGTCAAGGTCATATGACAGATGCTCAGGGACAGGTACGACCCATCTACCTTTAATCCTGTTCAACGTGGTCAAATTCTGTGTCTCAGAGATCCCTTTGAAAGGCCCCTTAGATGATGTGCAGTAGGTCTCACCTCTTTTTTCTGTAAACACCAACAGATTTTGCTGTCTTAACTCTGAAATCACTGATCTTAATTCTTTCAAAACCTCATACGGATCTACACTCTCTTACCCTCCGTTTCAAAATCTGAAACGCCCAGAAAACTGGAAGTTCTTTTGCAAATTTGACACACAAAGTCCGCTGATGGCAAAGCTTGCCCTGAACTGGTTTGAGGCCTTTTACAGTCTTTGTTGTGAAAATTCATACATTTTACTGCAGAAATATGAATGTATTAGTTTATGAGGTGCTGGCTCAGACCCCTCGCCCCCAACTGAAGTTTTGTGTAATATGTGCTCTGGATGCCATATCTGAAAAAATTTTGAATTCCAAGTGCATCAGGTCCAAAGATTTTAGAAAAGGGACTGTGAGTCTGCACTCTGACACCCTCCTACAAGAGGACCATAAAAGCAACTGGAGTAATAACGTAAGTGTTTTTGCAAAAATAGCCTTGCACCCCTGCCCGAGGGAGGAAGGGAAAGATCCTTTGATTTAGTCGTACCTTGACGTACAGCAATAGTAGGTGACAGGAAAAGAATACAAGAATCATGACGAGACGTGGGTACTTCAATAAGAAAGGTTCTGGCTCGTTCTCAATACATTTACAGCTGCCCCTTTTTAAGGCAGGGAGCCTTTATTAAGGAAGTCGGGCCTTAATGTAAAATGGAAAGAGTAAATTATAAGCCATGGAAAGCCTTGGAGTAAGACAGACAGAAGAACACAGCTCTGCATGTGGGCTGCCTTAGTTTGTTCCGACCACTATAACAAAATACCATAAATGGGGTAGCTTATAACAACACACATTTATTTCTCCTTTTGCTGGAGGTCTAAAATCAAGATACTGGTAGCTTTGGTGTGTGGTGAAGGCCCACTTCTTTTTTTTTTTTTTTTTTTTTAAAGATTTTATTTATTTATTTGAGGCAGAGAGAGCACATGAGAGGGGGGAGGGTCAGAGGCAGAAACAGGCTCCCTGCCGAGCAGGGAGCCCGATGCGGGACTCGATCCAGGGACTCCAGGATCATGACCTGAGCCGAAGGCAGTCGCTTAACCAACTGAGCCACCCAGGCGCCCAAGGCCCACTTCTTAGGTGGGTCCCATGGCAGCAGGAAGGGGCAAGCAAGGGAGCTCTCTGGGGTCTCTTGTAAGGCTACTAACCCCACTCATGAAGCCTCCACCCTCCCTCCCAGAGACCCCTAGTACCATCATGTTGGGCAATAGATTTCAACACACGAGTTTTGTGAGAACAGAAACATTCAGGACATAATGCGTATTGTATCTCTTGTTGGCCTCTTGCCTAAACATTGGTGCTAAGGGATGCCCAGCTTCCCACAGATCTTTGTATTTCTTCCTTTTTGATGAGAAATATTAATCATTTCAGCGTATTGTATCTTTTAAAGTGGTGAAAGTTGGGGTGTAGCAAAAAACTTGTACTTACCCTATTAAATTCTCACTTGACAACTTTTCACTGGGCAGTTCTGCCCCCAGAAATCTCCATTAACTGTCTGTTGTTAAGTGGGTCACTGTTGTTTGGATTTTTGAAAATAGATTGTCTTCATCCTGAAATTCTAGGGTGTTTCTCAGGAATATTTTCCGATGCACAAAATACTGAAGGGGGAAAAAAGTCAGGATTTTTCCTGCACCTCCCCATTCCCCACCAAAAAAATGATTGTCGTCTCAAACTTTGCAACCAAGTGCCCTATCTGTGGCTATAGACCTACAGGTTACTCAGTTCCTCGGGATATTGCTATAACACTCATATTTCAACAATTCTTTTGACCACTGTTTAAGCTCAAGTGGAAAATCCTTACCTTTGTGGCCCAAACAGCCCACTCAGTTGGATAAGTTCGCTTTGGGGCTGGGAACACCCCGGAATTCTTCATCTGTTTTCTCTTTCTTTGCATTTTGAGCATTTTTAAAGACTAATTTTTGCCTCAACTGTGATGAGTAGAAGGAAGGTTGCAGGATACACCCTACCTGGAAAAATCCACCGTAGATTAAGATTTTCAGCAGTACAGTTTGATCATGGGGCCAAAGTAGATGGTCAGTAATCTGATAAAATAAGAAAGGATAAGCCTTGCCTCTTAACCCCATTGGCTTGTCCTACAGGCGAATCTTTGCCTCTGAGTGAAGGTGGAGGTTAGGAGAAAGACGTCTGAGCATTAAAAGAAGGGGCATTAAAAGTGGATGGTCCACTGGGATCAATAAGCCGTGGGCCTCCCACATGAGGAAAACGTATCTGGAACTAAGAAATTGGAGCCAGGAGCTCAAATGACAGTCCTCCAAGGCTGCGGTCATTCAAGCGCTAAGCCTAAACCCACTCCGCAGCCCCCGCAGCCCCTCCCCGGGAATCTCCTCTTATACTAGTACTTCTCAACAACACTTGGACCTTGGTGTTTGGAGATTCAGCCTCTCCTCTCACAAGCTGAAAATCCCAATCTACAAAATACTCCCTTGAAAGGAGAGAGGGGAGAGGGCAGAGGGAGGCAGAGTTGGGCGCCAGGACACTGGGACACTCCAGACACGCATCCCCTGCTCAGGTCAGTGAGGAAAGATGAGGTTCAGTGCTGGGGTGAAGAACCACCAGCAGGGGCTTCAGTCCCTGTTTATTGGCACGGCCCCATTCTCCATGTCCTAGAGGGAAGCATCCTCGCTTCTCCTGAGGTCACTCGACTACAGTATCTACTCAGGGAAAGCTCCCACCTGCCGAGCTCCCCTCAGCCTGCTTTCTTTGCATCCGCAAGTGCTGGCCTGCATCAGGAGAACAGTAGATCCTCCTCTGGAACGGCTGCAACCACTGGCCATTCTGATGCTTCTCGCTCCCCTCCCCTCAGAGCTTTTCCCAAAAACAAACACCAAAAAAAAAAAAACAAAAAGCAAAAAAAAAAAACCAACAACAACAACAAAAAACACCTTGGTAGGAATCTAAGAGGAAAGAAAACAAAAACAAATACAAAGCATAGAAACAGATAAGCTTCAAGCGAGCAGATCTCTTATCCCAGCTTAACAAAAGCTCGGTCCTGAGTTAACTGCGTGACGGCTCACAGGACAGCCTCCCCCCCCCATCCTTCTCCCACGGGTGTGTAAGAACATGTATTGTAACAGACTCCCCTATAGCGCACCCCAGATCCTCAGGTAAAAGTGAATCCTCCCAAGACTGGAAGGATTCTGAGTGCCTCTCAAAATTTGCCACCTTTCCTGCTCTCCCTGGGTTTGAGCCTCTTCTTCTCTCCAGCTGCCTCTGACGTCTGATTGCAAACTTTGCCTTTCTAGTAAATAAGGCAGTTTCCTTCTGCTCCCAGAGATGTTGTCTGGGCACTGAAAGCGGTACATTTCTTAGCTTTCTAAAAAACCGTAAACAATTTCAGAGTAAGAGAAAAAACTGTGCTCCTAAAAGAGAGGGGAGAGAACTTTTTGTGTTGGGGTGCTCTTGTCGTGTGTGTATTAGTTCAGAGGTTTATAATATTTCAATTATTTGGGTTTTGTGGATTTGGAAGGAATTTTTGGGTTTTTCAGCGGAGCGAAGAAGGAATATGTAATCAGTGATTACGAGTGAACTAATTATCTTTTGGGCCATTGCTGCTTCAAGTGATGTTTTTTGTATGGCATAACTCAGAAAGCTCTGGTAAAATGAGTGTCCTTAAATGAAGAAAGTAGTGAAACATGACTAATAGTTTTAGGGGAGCAGCCTACAAGAACACCAGGTCACGTGTATAAAGAGCCTTGCACCTTGACACTAATATACATATATTGCTAGTACTCTAGCCCCCTGGGAAGAGAAAAGGCAGTTGTTAGCAAATGATGTTTCCTATAAAATGGCTTATAAAATAAAAATTGATATAATTGACGTTCATAAAAATACACTGTTCAGATTGTTCTTTTTTTTTTTTAAAGACTTTATTTGAGAGAGAGAGCATGAGTAGGGGGAGGGGCAGAGAGAGTGGGAGAAGTAGACTCCCCGCCGAGCAGAGAGCCCAACGTGGGGCTCGATCCCAGGACCCTGAGATCGTGACCTGAGCTGAAGGTAGATGCTTAATGAACTGAGCCACCCAGGGGCCCCTACTGTTCAGTTTCTTACACTATGCTTTACTGAAAGTTTCCCTGACCTGAGTCTAACTATTAGCAAAGAGAAGCTAGTTTAGTGGAGTCTTTCATATGTCCAATTACCAGCATTAGCTCAGGACATTCACAATTGAAGTTTACTAAAGAAACCTTTCGGCCTTAAGTTGCAAATGGTCTCTCATTGGAAATTGGAATAATATATATTCAGCAATCAAGAAATGTTGCACAGTGAATGGTCAATAAAAGGGACTGAGTCAGGAAGAAATTTCTAAAATTATTTAGGACTTTGAGAAGGAGGCTTCTTATACACAGACTATTCCACAAATCCTTGTTTTAAGTGACCTGGAAGCATTTTCCTCAGATTTCAT